ATTCCTGCTAGGGAGAAATGCCCATCAGGCTCCAAACATCCTCTCAGGCTAAAATGGGGCTTAACAAGGGGAGTAGGCTGATGTGGGTTGGCTTCCCCAAAGTGGAAAGGACAGCTTAAGTGCCTGAGGATAGAATGGGAAACTTAACAGAGTGAAACCACTCTCAGGCAACCCCCTTCCCACCGCCTCCCACCCAGGTCACTGAAATTCCTTAGCTAAAGGGACCTTGGCAACCACCTCTAACCTAGCCTCTCATCTTACAAATGAAAGGGTTAGTGACTTCTCAAGATTAATGTTTCTGTGGCACAGCTGAAACTAGACAGTCTCTTGATCCCTCGTCCAGTATTCTTTTCATTACATCACGCTGCCATTGTTTCAAGAGTCACTTCAAAAAACTATCACTTGGGACTTCTCAGGCAGTCGTTAAGACTCCATGTTTCCAGTGCAGGGGTCATGGCTTCGATCCCTGGTCAGGGAACTAAGACGTGGCCAAAACAAAAAAACAAAAAACAATCACTTGACTGCCCAGAAAATAAACAGATTAAGGATTGAGTGGGCAGCTGAACAAAGGAAAAAAGTCCTGAGAAAGCCCATTCCTTCATCAGAATGTCACTTCTGGATAATTTCTGCATTAATTCTGGACTATGAGTCCTTGCACTTTATTGCACTTCATGGTTCTAAAAGCACTTTCACATGTATCACCTCTGAGGCATTGGTTTACTGTAATAACCCAAGTGTTGACAAACCTGAGTTCAAATCCTGCTCTACTGGGCAATAAGTCACTTAATTCTCCCCAGTTTCCTCATCTGTTGAAAACTACAAATCTCTGTCTATTACAAAAAAATTAAATGAAGGTAATTGATAGGAGTGCCTAGAATGATCTGGACACTTAGAGTTCGGTATATCTTAAATTTTTTCCTCTCCTATAGATTACATCCATTTCACATGTCAGAAAACTGAGGTCCAAATAGGCTAACTCATGATCACACATCCTCCATGTGCCAAAGCCAGAGTTTAGAACCTTTGTTTCGGCTTTCTAGCCCAGGTTGCTACCCCAGATACCAAACAGGTTAGACACCTTTCTTATTCATTTCTTCCAAGGAAGAGCCCCTCACGCTCTGTTCTGAAACTCAGCTTGCCTCTGCCAATCACAGGATTATATTATCCAGAGCCGGCTATCTGCAGGGGTTTAGTCTCCACCTCCAGATTTCCATCCCCGCCTCCCAAATTAACATTTACTGTTTTGGGCACAGGCCTGGGGCTGCCCTTGGAAGGAATGTAAAGAGCAGGTGTGACTCACCTAGCATGTCACAACTTGTCTTCTGAGCCCTGTGGGAGGCTCATCTGATTTCCTTGTTTGGGTCACACGGGGCTTTCTCCACTCTTGCTATTTCCTTAATTGGAGCAATTCTTTTTTTTTTTGGCCACACCTTGCAGCTTAAGAGATCTTAGTTCCCTGACCAGGGATTGAACCCAGGCCCTTGGCAGTGAGATCACCAAGTCGTAACCATTGGACTGCCAGGGAATTCCTGGAGCAATTCTTTAAGTCATGTAATTTCTCCCTGCTTACATAGTTTTGGCCTCACTGTTTTTCAAATAGAATCACAGAATGTCAGAGCTGGAAAAAGGATCATTTAGTCCAAGACTCCATTCTACGGATGAAGAAACTGAGGCCCAGAGAGGAGAACAGATTTACCCAACCTGAATTTTCAACCTGAAGGTTCCTTTTCAACCTGAATTAAATATGTCCTGCCACTCCCTTCTGGCTTGCAGAGTTTCTGCTGAAAGATCAGCTGTTAACCTTATGGGGATTCCCTTGTGTGTTGTTTTTCCCTTGCTGCTTTTAATATATTTTTTTCGTACTTAATTTTTGATAGTTTGCTTAATATGTGCCTTGGCGTGTTTCTCCTTGGATTTATCCTGTATGGGACTCTCTGCACTTCCTGGACTTGATTGACTGTTTCCTTTCCCATATTAGGGAAGTTTTCAACTATATCTCTTCAAATAATTTCTCAGTTCCTTTCTTTTTCTCTTCTTTTTCTGCGACCCCTATTATTAGAATGTTGGTGCATTTAATGTTGTCCCAGAGGTCTCTGAGACTGTCCTCAATTCTTTTCATTCTTTTTTTTTTATTCTGCTCTGCGGTAGTTATTTCCACTAATTTATCTTCCAGGTCACTTATCCATTCTTCTGCCTCAGTTATTGTGCTATTGATTCCTTCTAGAGATTTTTAAATTTCATTTATTGTGTTGCTCATCATTGTTTGTTTGCTCTTTAGTTGTTCTAGGTCCTTGTTAAACGTTTCTTGTATTTTCTCCATTCTATTTCCAAGATTTTGGATCACCTTTACTATCATTACTCTGAATTACTTTTCAGGTAGACTGCCTATTTACTCTTCATTTGTTTGGTCTGGTGTGTTTTTATCTTGCTCCTTCATCTGCTGGGTGTTTTCTTTGTCTTCTCATTTTCCTTAACTTACTGTGTTTGGGGTCTCCTTTTTGCAGGCTGCACGTTCGTAGTTCCCGTTGTTTTTGGTGTCTGCCCCCAGTGGCTAAGGTTGGTTCAGTGGGTTTTGTAGGCTTCCTGGTGGAGGGGACTGGCCACACGGCTGAGTTAGAATTCAGGCTTCTTTTATACTAAAAGGGGAGAGCATATGGCTGGCTGGTTGTTGCAGACTTCTTGGTGCTGGGATCCTTTGCAGCGGTCCTCCTAGGTCTGGTCATAATCGTGCATGTATTATTTAGCACTCTCAGTAGGGTCTGGAGCAACGTCATCAACACATCCAGATTTCTGCCATGAAATTTATTAGTAGCCACACTAATTGGTATAAATAGACCATAAATAGCTGTAGGCCACTTCAGGTCAGTTTTGCCATCAAATGCGTTGGCACCAAACTTTCAAAGCAGCTTTCAGTTTTCAGAGCATTCTGAATTTGTGGATAAGGGATTGTGGATCTGTATAAATTATGGTTTAATTTTTGAGGACTTTTTAATATAGGAAAGTGCTCACATATATTGTTAAGTGAAGGGCAGGGGGAATAGTACCAAAGTGACACAATAACCCTGCTCCATTTTTAAAAAGAAAAATGGGAACACATTTGTAATTTAAATGCAAAATTGGCTGTTTTAAATCCAAACTGACCATAACTGCTTTTGTTTTCCTCTTTTTCTCTTCTTTCTGTTTTTAATCTTCAAGTGCAAT